CACACACACACACACACACACACACACACACCGTCCTGAACAAACAGAAAAGTTCTGCTACAGTACAAACCTGTTGTTCTCTGAACATCATCTGTCCAGTCTGTGTGTGTGTGTGTGTGTGTGTGTGTGTTTGTTGGCAGTTTGTTTCAGATTGAAATAAAAGGAGGTTCAGATAGAACAGCTCTGGGGGAAAAAAACGTTTTCTGGCCCAAAAAAAGTCTTTTTTTTTTTCCACCTCAGGTGAAATTCTGGACTCAAACACACACACTCACACACACACACTCACACACACTCCCACAGACTGAGGTGTGAATTTTCCCACTGTCTGTGAAGGCAGCACAGCTGATAAGACAGAGGAATAATCATCAGAGTGAAGCCACAAAAGAAAAGCAGTGAGAGGGAAATGAGAATTTGATGAGTCAGGACTGATTAGTCGGTTCCACCATCGCTCACGTCCGGCCTGGAATATTTCATTTCAATAAAAAATAAAATAAATAAATAAAGTCGGTGTTTTTTTTGCGATTATTGTCTCCCCTCATAGATGCGTCACCCCCTCGACCTAGGCGTCGGGAGGAACTCAGGGTCTGAGGATAGGTCGGGAGATCCTCTGAGGAAACACTGCCGCCTGGTGGAGTCTCTGTGGTATCGGCGCTCAGTTAGTTTTGACTGAAGAGCAGAACAGTTTATGTTTATTGATCCGCCGATTAGTTTGACTGGGTTTAATGGAAGATAAAGACACGTTGATGACGTCACTATTCACATCCTGTGAAACGGATCCGTTTGGATCAGAACGGAACCAGCTGTGGTGGTGGAACCGTTCCTTCAGTGGAACTGTTGATGGAACTGTTTATTTTGAAGCTGCTCTTCTGTGAAAAGACTTTTATTTTGACGAGACTTTTCCTGTGATTTGACAAAGAACCAGTTTGAATAAATCAACGGAAAACTTTTTTTAAATTCCTGGTTCTGGTTCTGGTTCTGGTTCTGGTCCGCCTTGTGCTAACACACATTTTGGAGCTGTGTGTGTGTGTGTGTGTGTGTCAGAGGAAATCCTCCTGGAGCCTGATATAGACAGAGACCAGACTCTCTTTGTCTCCCCCCCTCCCTCCCCCCTCTCATTCCCT